TAAATTGCAAGTCTTGTTCATTGGTTTTTTGATTTTGTTCATATTTTTTAATGATGAAAAGCTCTGATTTGGTTTGTCTATAATGCATCGTTTTAAGTAGTTCATGTGGTGTTGGTTTTCGCAAAAGATTGATTGTCTATTCTTCAGTGCAAAATTTTCCAAATTTCTTATGCCATTATTTTGTTATACTTCATTGCTTTATTGCTATAAGAAAGTTGCAGTTCAGAATTACCAACATATTCATTGATGCTATTATCCTTCTAGAAATCTTTGTTGATAAAACAAGTTCCTTTTTAAATATAAGTTGTTTAGGATCAATGAAATCTTATATGGTGAACACTGTTTGCAAATTAATGAAATTACATTTCCTCTATTTTGCTTGTTCTGGTGACACTATATGGTTAACACATAATTATTAATCTTTCTTGTCTTTCTTTTTTAATAAAACTATCGACATATTGCTTAAATTTTCATTGTTCTCCAGGAAATTATGTTTACAATTAACCTCACCTATGTTTAATTTTATTGTGGATGACAGCCTGCTGAATTTCAAAAGTTAAATGATGGTCGGATCAAGAAGCAACATTCACATGATCATCATTCCGAGGGAAGTTCAACGGAGGATGATGACCACAGTCTTAATTGATGCTTTTCAAATGTTATTTTCAGGTTACTTAATTGATGACCATAGTCTTAATTGATGCTTTCCAAATGTTATTTTCAGGTTAGCTTCTATGAGCTTGCTTAATAGGGTTAGTTTAGAATCAACCTAAGTAGTGACTTATATAAAACTTGTTTAGTTTGGTTCGATTGATTAATGTTTAACTTTCGGATCTGTTATAGGATGATGAATTTGAATACATTAATATGTTATTTATTTATAATTTTTAATTATGTACTTTTAATAATTGTATTGTGTTACACAAAGATTCCAAAAATAAATAAATAAATAAATAATTTTAAATTTATTTTAGAAAGATAGTCCATGGGTTAAAACATTTGAAAAACAAACAAATTATAGTTTTTCCCGTGAAAAGAATTGTGGGTAAAAAATTTTAAAAATAAACAAATTATATTTTTTCCACGGAAAGGGTCGTGGGTAAAAATATTTGCACACAAAATTAATTTTTTTCCCACAATCAGTGTTGGATAAAAGTATTTGTTAAAACTATTCATTTATTATTTCCACAACTGATTTACCCACGGAAAGTCGTGGGTAATTTTCATCAATTTTATTGTTTCAAAAATTATTCTCCCACGAAGTACACATGAAAATAATAGTGGTGAATTACCCACAACACTCAGTTTTCGAGGAAAAATTTACCCATGGAGTGTTGACTCTCCATGGGAGAATGATTACCCATGGGCAATTCTCCCACCTATTGCTTTTTGTGGAACGTCGTGGGAGAATCCTTTTACTATGACTACTTAGGCATTTTACACAAGACTCTCAATCGTGGTTAGAGACATATATATTTGTAGTGTTTATGGCATCTCCGATGGAAGACAATTTTGCAATCGAAGACAAAATAGAGAGATGGGTCCTAGTAGGATTTCCACCACGTCTTGTAGACGAGCATGGCTCTTCAGCATCACTCTTCCAGCGGAAGCCAGGAAAGGATGATGAAGAGGCGGTCTTGGTTCAAAAAAAAAAAAAAAAGAAATAAAATGTGGGACTCATTACTTTTTATCAAAAAAAAAAAAAATTGGCAGGAATTTTTGCTCCGATGATCGTTTAAGTTAAATTTTGGCCGGTGGGACTAAATTAATGAATAAGTTTGAACCTTGGGACTAATTTTCTAATATTTTGTAGTTTGGGATGAGATTATTTTAATTCCCCAAACCTTGAGACTAAATCCCTTCTTGGTCCGTTAATTTATTAAAGACTTGCACCACTACCATTTTTTTTATTATGTCTCCAGTTTCTCTCTTCTACCCATCACTTCTCACCTTCACATTTTTCCATTCTAAAATCTCCCACAATCCCAATATCCTTCTTCTTATTCTCCATCATATTTTTTCATTTCTGAAACCTCCCCCGGTCCCAGTAGCATTCTTTTTCTTCACCATATACAAACGACGTCCTCACCATAAATATGCATGCATCGCACATTAAATGATTTTATACCAGAGCAATGTCCTCATCATATTTTTTCATTTCTGAAATCTCTCGTGGTCCCAGTAGCGTTCTTTTTCTTCACCATATACAAACAATGTCCTCACCATAAATATGCATACATCGAACATTAAATGATTTTATACCATAGCAATAGTTCCTTTTAAATTTTTATCTTCCTTTTAGTGTCTAATATGTATATTATGTGCATTACTTTAAGTTCTTTATTTTTCCCTTCTAAAATAGTAGAACTTAGGCTAGAATTATATACTACTAAGCAATTTATGCATTTTCCTTTGTTTAGGGACCTAATCAAAATATTAGTTAAATTCTAGGCAAATTGGCAAAAAGGCGCAAAAAGCCAATTGGACCAAAAGTGCAAAATCTAGAGAAACGTTTACACGCCTACTTAAGCTTTTTCCCCATTCTAGGAGGCAACTTTGGGACCGTTTCTTTGGCTCGATTCTTATCAGAGTGGAGCAAAACTCGATAGCCAAGGAAAAACGGTGAAACATGGCTCTGTGGTCCTGATAATCAACATAAAATGCAAAGAAGGAGCAGCTGGAATCGAGCCTGAAAAGCAAAGCAAAAAATGTACATTCCTGATGCAGTTGCTGCTGGTAGGACGTGGCGAAATCTGAGCAAAGAAGTAAGTTGTTGCCGCTCTATAAAAGAAGAAAATGATGCACATTTTCAAGAGAGGACGCGAAGGCACAATTTAGCTTTGAAAGATTAAGATTTAGTGCAATAGATAAGTGAGGAGAGAGCTCTGCAACAGAGCCTCTCAAGGTAGTTAGCAGAGAGACAGTCGCTCAAGTGAGTGGCATCCCAACGGGCTTGAGTGATCTGTTGCATTTTAAAAGCTTGTTTATTTTGGTATGTGTTTATTTCCTCTCATCTTGTAATCATGTTTTGTGCTCAATTCTTTGTAGATTTTATACTCGAAATACTGATTATGAGTAGTAGATCTTTTGTTGGGGTTGAAACTCTCTTTCTATGTGAAAATACTTTAGATTTGCATTCGGACGATTTAATTGTGCCCAGTTTTACTGTTTAAATTAATATTAAGTGTAGTTAGTTGCCATGAGGTGGTCAATAAGACTCTAGATGTATAATGGCTCGCCAAACTGGACATTTTATTTGGAAGGGATCATGTTAGTCACTGGAAGTACACTTCTAATTCACTCGAAAGAGGTTTAGAAATAGATTAGCCGAACACCCGTCGTATCACATGGATCCATAATAACTGCAAAAGTAACATAGAAAGAGAGGATGATCTCCAGGTTCCCATATTCTGTTTATTACCCTGCAATCTTCTCTAAACTGCTATCTTTCATGTCTTGTTACTCATATTTACTTGTTTTCTTGTTGATAGTTCCATTTTACTTTAGTATAATGTGAGGAAAACCATCACTCACGCGAGTACTGACAACACTCGCGTGAGTGGCAAAAATTTCTGCCTTCTTCCGTTAGTTTTTGATTTGGTTTTCTTGTGATTTAGCAGTTCAAGGACACTCACTGCCGTCATGGTGGGTTTGACCCGAATTATTAGTAAACTAATAGTTTTAAGGTGATTTATAAATTTCTCTTTTGAGACAGATAATGACATCATTTGATTCTATCGCACCACTTCCCACCATAAAACTTGGGCTACGACAGACATGAACTTTGAAGAAATAATTTTTAACATTTTGAATTATCCTAAATAATTATTCTATAATCCTTTCTCTCTTTCTTTTCTGGATTTTGAATGTTGTCCTTGTATAATCTTTTGGTTGTGTAAGATTGATTGGATCTGTTGTCCTCTAATTTTTTTCCTCGTTAACTGACTTGACTTGGAAATTGAGTAATTTTGTTTTTTTTTTTCATGGATTTTTTTTTAATCTATTCTTGAATTGATAAATTGTTTATCGTGCTAGTGAAATAATTGATTTTTGAGCTTCTGTTGGTTACTCTGCTGGATTGATTAGGTGCAGAAGCTAGTTGTGGTTCTTTTTGACTTCAAACTTTTCAAGTCGATGTCAATCTACTTAACAATTGAACGAGCCGAGCTCGAGCTTAAAACTTTTGGCTCGATCGAGTTTGAGTCAAGCTTGAACTCTGTATAAAACGACTTGAGTCGAGTTCAATATGGTAAATTCAGGCTTGATTTGGCTCATTTACACTCCTAATTGGGAGCTTTCTAACTTTCAACTCCCGTAAAAAGATTTTTATTAAAAGATCATAATTAACGAAAATATCCTTGTAAACGTGATTCCATTTAGAATTGACGGTGAAATTTTTCATAGTAATTCTGTATTAGTCCTTTAGAGTGACCTAGAATGGATTTAATTTTGTATAATCATCTAAAATGATATATTCCCATGGCTTCTGATTTGTGGTTTACTAAAAAAGAAACTTTACTTACATAACTTTTACGATTCTTGGGAAAAAATGTAAGTAAAACATGGAATAAAAAAGGTTTATTTTTATTATTTTCTCTCCTCGAAAATTATTGTCCAATTTGGATTTTTATTTTTAGTACAATTTTAATTAAAAAAATATTTAAACTGAGCAATTATCTTGGGACAGAAGATGTATCAATTTTTGTTTGTGAGTTAGATTTTATCTTGATATTTCAAAAATAAAATTTCGTGTTCCCAATCATTACATTTTGAGGTAATTTTCATACTCTAAAATAATATTGACTAGTCAGTGAAAGTAAATGAAGTAGGTTTTGCCCAAAGCAGTGTTTCTTCAAGTTAAAAGGAAAAGAACATTTTTCTCCTCTTTATCTCAGGATCACAATAATAATAATAATAATAATAATAATAATAATAATAATAATAATAATAATAATAAAATCCCCAGCACACGCACAAACCCTGGAAAATGACTGAAAAGACTATTCGATCCCCGAAACCCAAAGTCTCATCAACTATCCTAGTCTCTCCCTCACACGCACAGTTGCCACTGATTATTTTCCCTTTTCCCTCATAAACCCTAAACCCTAATAACACTCCCAAAACCCTTTCCTCAAATTTTCTCTCCGATTTCACAATCAGTCGAAAAAAAGTTGAATAAATCGAGGAAGAGGAACAGGAGGAGAAAGGGGAAAAATGGGTAGTCTTTTTCTACTGAAGAAATCTGCTTCTTCTTTATCATTTTCCTCACAGCTTCGCAGGAGATTCCCTATTTCTGCCTTGTCCCATCTCTTGGCGTCCGGTTCTTTTGATTCTGGTCCGAGGGAAAGTCGCTTTGGGGGCTGCCGAGCTCAAAATTTTACTACAAAAAGCTATGACCTGCCTGCGCTGGAAGACCGGCCCAGATGGATAACGGCTCGCGGGTTTCACTCGGGTCGGCCTTCGTTGTTCTCTGCGGGGTTTGCTGTTGAAGATTTCTCGGATGATGATAAGAGAGGGAATCAAGGTAGTGGTGTTGCTGATGATGGGCTCGACATTTCGAAGCTAGGGATAGAAAACGACATCGTTTCTGCCCTTGCGAGGAAAGGGATCACAAAGCTCTTTCCTATTCAGGTAACTTGAGAGGATTAATTTTTATTATTTGATAAACTTGAGAGGTTATGGAAGAGTTGGGTTTTGTGAATTGTGTTTGGGGAAATGGAGGTGCTGAACGGAAGTATAAATAAGAATTCTGTAATCGTGATACTGTAGTTTAATTGGTAGTTTAATTGATTGGGATATACAACTCCGGTGTACTCTTGAGAATACGATGAATTCAGATTTTTTTTAATAATAATAATTATTAAAAATCAATGAATGTATTACTAGGAAGACGACTCCCCTTTCATTGGGTTGGCTATATAAATGCCTTTACAAACGTTTAGCTTGCCTTGTTTGTCTATACTGAGGTAAAAGTGATGGGATCTTACTCATGGAGAAATGGACGATTGAGGTAATTTAGAAAAATGTAACTTTGGTATCATTTTCAGAGAGCTGTTTTGGAGCCAGCAATGAAAGGACGTGACATGATCGGTCGTGCCAAGACAGGAACAGGGAAGACCCTTGCCTTTGGGATCCCTATTTTAGATAAAATAATTCGATTCAATGCAAAGCATGGGTAAGTTCATATAAAAATCTTTTTCTTTTTTGATTTGTTATGTGGTAGTACTGTCAGCGTGGAGTTTCTGATGGTCTTCTGGCTAGTTACAGAACTGCTAGTTGTATGTGCTGTAGATTTGAGTCTAACATCTTGTTAACATTTCCAGTCGTGGGAGGAATCCTCTAGCACTAGTCTTGGCTCCTACCCGAGAACTTGCTCGCCAAGTGGACAAGGAGTTTTATGAGTCTGCTCCTAGCCTGGACACTCTCTGTGTTTATGGTGGTACACCCATCATGAGGCAAATGAGTACGCTTGACCGTGGTGTTGATATTGTGGTGGGAACCCCAGGCAGAGTGATTGATCTGATAAAAAGAGGCTCTTTGAATCTTTCCGAGGTTAGATTTGTGGTTCTTGATGAAGCCGATCAGATGCTTAATGTGGGTTTTGCTGATGATGTTGAGACAATCTTAGAGAATATTCGGCAAGAACATCAGACCATGATGTTTTCCGCTACGATGCCTGGTTGGATAATGAAACTCACTCAGAAGTTCTTAAAGAATCCAGTGCACATTGATCTTGTAAGTTTCCTGATCAGGCTTGATTCAAACCTGTGAAAATTGTATGAGCCCATCCACTCTCTCTTGCTTTCCTTGATGGTTTTATTGGTGTCAAATACACTTTGTAGGTAGGGGACAATGACCAGAAATTAGCTGAAGGGATCTCATTGTATGCAATTGCATCGGAGAACAACCAGAAAGCAGCTGTTGTTGGTTCTCTTATAACAGTATGTTCATAAGACATATTCTTATTTTTTTCCATAATTGTGTTTGTGCCTTTTATTATTTCTATTCTTGCAGTATAGCCTTTTAATGAAGTGATCATCTCACATACAACATTTTTCCTACTACTGGTTCATAGGAACATGCGAACGGTGGAAAGTGCATTGTTTTTACCCAAACAAAAAGGGATGCCGATCGATTGGCCTATGCTATGCAAAAAAGCTTTAAATGTGAAGCTCTGCATGGAGACATCTCTCAGAATCAGAGGGAAAGAACTTTATCGTCATTCCGAGATGGTCGTGTTAATGTACTTGTGGCCACTGACGTAGCTGCACGAGGCCTGGATGTTCCTAATGTAGATTTGGTAAGTCTTTTTCCTTATGTCCCCTCATTTCCATTTATCTGGTAGTGCCTTTTACTATTATTTGCTGCTTGTAAATTTTTTATTACTAGACTTGAATGAAAATTTTCCCTCGTGCTCGGCAATTTAAGTTCTGGAACACATTGGTCTCCACCCCTCCCCCAACACAACTGGTTGCTATTTTACCAGCTTTTGCAGGTGTGATCTTAAGTCTGGTGTCCCTCTGTTTATAGATTCCCATTTAATGTCCTTTACAGGTAATTCATTTTGAGCTTCCAACCACATCAGAGATATTTGTGCATCGATCTGGTCGAACTGGGCGTGCTGGAAAGAAAGGAACTGCTATTCTTATGTATACATCAAACGAATATAGGGATGTGAAGACTATTGAACGAGACATAGGTTGCAGATTTACAGAGGTACTTCCTGGTTGATGCTGTTTTTCTCATACTCTTTTAGATTACTAGCCTGCAAGCTGGCTCATTTTTGTGGCTGCCTTCCGTAGTTTAACAATGTTCTCTGCCCCTCCTACTATATTTCAACCAAACTTGCATCTATATATAGATATGGGTCGGGATCATTCCCTCTTCGTTGTCTTGCACCCGATGGGAAGAGTAGGGTTGGTGGGGTTGTTCAAAATTACTTCTTCATTTCTTTTTTTAGCTGCATGTGTATTTTTTTGGTTTTGCTATTTGGCAACACTTCAATGCTTCTAAATTAGTTGTAAGTCGTTGAACTCCTGTGTTAAGATATGAAATTGTTAATGAATGTGGTTTGACTTCCTTATGCCCATGATAACAGTGGTGCTGTGAATTTTTGGTGTTGCAATAAGCTGCCAATAGTGGCCTTTGTGATCATTATGTAGATATTTTAAAGCTCAAACATGATTAGAGCTAGTATCGCATTCAAACTTTTATGTCATGCATGTATACTGGAATTCGACTTCATACTCCGACCAAGCATGAAGCTTTACTATTTAGGATGTAAATGTTTTTTGGTTTTCTGGTTTGCAGAGCCTCGAGTTTGCCCTTTTTACATTCAAAACTTGAGTTTATAACTACCAACTTGGTTTGGCCTAACATGTGTGTTTTGTTTATCTATTATAGCTTCCAAAAATTTCCGTACAAGGTGGATCGATAGAAATGTTTGATGACTTTGGACGACGTGGTGGACTTGGTTCTTTCGGAGGTGGTCGCGGTTCAGGTGCTGGTCGCTATTCAGGACCTGGTAACTCAGGGGGTGGTCGTTTTGGTGGTGGTTCTTCGTTTGGGCGATCTGGTGGGTATGCTTCTCGTGGTGGCTTTGGTGACATGGGAGGTTCAGATCGTGGAGGTGGCTTTGGAAAATTCAATAGAGCTTCTGATCGTGGAGGGAATTCAGATCGTTCAGGCGGTTTTGGAAGTTTTGGCAATTCAAGTCGTTCAGGCGGTTTTGGGGACTTTGGATCTGGTCGTTTTAGCGGGTTTGGCAATACCAATTCAGCTCCAGATTCTAACTCTGGTGGCAGCTTCGGCTTCTCCAGAGGTGGGAGCAAATGACCGTGATGAGAATCCGGGTAGAAAACTTTTTTAAAATCGATAAATGTGGTAATTGTGTTACCTATTATTCCCCAGCTCCCAACTCCATCCAAGTAAGTAGTAGTTCTAGAGGCATAAGAAATAATAGTTTATATACGTTTTTTACTTATTTATACGAGTGTATATGTTCTCTTATTAGTAATCCTTGTCTTTGAGTTCGACCCTCTAATATTAATTTAGTTTGCTTTCCAAAAATTCTATCCATATTATTTTCATCAGCAACACGTAGTGCGTTTCATCGCTTGATGTATTTCCGCTTGTAAATTGTATCCTCTATATCTTACAAATTTTAAAATTCAATGTGGATTGTTTTTTAGGACGAAGAAAGACTAATCATAGAAGTATTTTTAATTTCGAATGGAACTATATAATGATAGTTTAATTGACTAAATTATCCTTAACATTTCTAAATTCACAAATGATAAATATTTTTAATATTATTTGTGTCCCGAAACAATTAGCTACTCTGAGATTTTAGGGTGCACTGTGCTAGAGGCATTTTATAGGAGGCGACGATGGCTCGGAATAGGAGAAAGGAAAAATGTAACCCGTATTCTAAATACTTAGTATAAGTGGTTATTTTCCTTGGGCGGAACGTTCGCTCTCTAGTTCTCTCCAGGAAGAAAATTAAACTTACTGAAACAACCGTCTTCGGATACCTTCATATTCGAACTAGGAGACCGCCGGAGAATAACTGAAGAAGGCACCAGACTTCGGTTCGGAGAAGAGAGAGGTGAATATAAGAGCAAAAGTTTCCTCAAATGATTCTGATATGAGAATTTTACCGACCTCCGCAGACATGTGAACAGTTGCCTCGTTTAATAAAATTATGATTGCTCCGTCCTCTAGTTCGAGATGATTCGGAGCGTTAGATCCGTTTAGCCGGGAGTGAATCTCCACCTTTAAATACAACCTTAACCCTAAGGGAAGATATATCCGGAAGTTAGACCTTCGTATAAGCCTTATCTGATTGGAAACGACCCGTCCGTTCTTATTTAGTGTCAAGTCCAAAAAAGAATATACCTTTTGGACTTGAAAGGAGCTCTTGATGAATCAAAATTTTGCCTGCCCATTTTACTCAAGGTTGGCCGTGTTAAGACCCGTTTAATATACTTTTGTTATTATTTTTAGAGTGAACATGAAAACGGGTCATTGAACTATTGGATAATTTTAGTATATGTCATCAATCAAATTTATTCGTAAAATAAGTAACCATACTAAGCAAAAAATTCATCCAAGATTATTCTGTTAATTTTGACCGCTAAATGGTAACGTAAATCCATTTTTCACATGCTTTTGGATTTAGAGGTATTTTTATCATTTAATATTTTTTAATTTTTAATCTTTTAAAAAAAATAAATTTTTTTTTACAATTATTCTTCTTATACTTCCTAACTTGTATATACTGGTACTATAATTTATAAATTCCAAAAAATTAATTTACCTTTTGTATTTTAACTTCTAGATTATAAAATTTTTAAAAAAATTTAAGAAGTGGAAAAAAAAATTCAAGTTAAAGTAAACATGAAAATTAATAGTTTACCAGTTTAAACTAAAAGAAAAACTAAAAGAATTAGCTAGGACAAGTTGTTTCTTCTAGGTTATTTAATTTTTTTCAACTCGATTGAATTATTTAATTATTAATTTTCACGTTAACTTCAAATCGATTTAATTTGTCATTTGTATCTTAACTTCTAGATTATAAAAAAAAGGAATAAGAAAAAATATATAAAATTTAAATTGAAGTTAACGTGAAAATTAATAATTAAATAATTCAATCGAGTTGAAAAAAATTAAATAACCTAGAAGAAAGAGTTTTTTCCCGAAAAAATTATCAAGGGGAGAACCTGGACAAAAATAATATGAAGCGAAAAAAGGTGGATAGAAGTAGCTGTCCCGAATTAGCCAAATCCGAAAGCTTAGAGGAGTCGGATTTGTGAAATCCGAGAGAAGCTTAACACGGATTTGTCTAATCCGAAAGTCTTCTAACCTGAAATTAATTAAATTAAGCCAAATGTTTAATTAAAATTAATTAGGTTTCGGGTTTGCGAAATCTGAATGATTTCAATAAAAAAATATTTTTTATTTTGCAAAAAAATTCCTAGAAGTGTTCAAAAATTAAAGTTGACTAGAAACGAATTACCCGAATCCGAGACAAGAAGATTCTGATTAGCGAAATCCGAATTGTAGAATAAAATATTATTCTAAATTTCGAAAAAAAATTTCAAGTGTAAAAGATAGATAGGAAGAGTCTCGGATTTGGCAAATCCGAGGGTCCACAGATTCTGCGGAGCTTTCGGATTTGACAAATCTGGAGGACCCCAAAATGGTATCTTTCGGATTTGCCAAATCCGAGACATAACAAAAATTTGAAAAAAGTTATGGACTGGTTTTTACCAGTCCTAACCCTGTTTAAATAGCACCAACAATCAATTCATAACAAACATATTCAACAACAAAACGATAATATTTTCATAACAAAATAATGTAAAATTCTCAACTTACAATCCAAATCATTAAAAAACTCTAAAAAGACTAATCAACAATCATTTTTTCCCTTTCCCTCTCCTAGAAATAGTGGGCGGGGTAAAATTATTTGGCGGGTGGCGCGTCCATTTGGATTTGCGAACCCTTTGTTCCTGCGAGTCCGGAAGGATTTTAACAATTGGCTCCACGTTTAGGACTTGTGATTCTCCTCCGAGAGTAATGGTGAGAGGTACCTCTTTTTCATGTGGGGTGTAAGATCCTCTCGAAGAACCAACATCGTCCTCTCTTCTCACATTGTCTTCTCCCATTTCCTCCCCTCCTCCCACATTTTCTCCCCCTAGGTTCTCTTGCTCGTGTTGGCTCGAACCTTCCGCGTGATCCTGGGATTGTGATGGCCTGAAAGGATTTCTTCGCTTTCTTCCTCCTCCAATTTTGTCTCTCGACTACGGCTTCGTTGTTTCACCACGCGGACCTTGTGAGGGGCGACGCGGTTTATAATTCAAAAGGATTTGGGAATCCTCAATTTCCATCCTGTCGTCTTTTTCGAGATTAAAGCAGTGTGGGTTACGTCCGCGAAATAGTCGAGCATCTTTTCGAACTCTTTGTCTAGGTCATGGGCTTTACGATATTCTTCTCGGAATGTTATGGCCCTCATACGGACATTGTTCAGCACTTCACCCTGGAAATCAAATGATACTTTTACTAAAGGAGTATAATTCAAAATTTATGTGAATAGAGTAAAATACACTTCCATACGTGGATTAATTGCAAATAAATACTTACATAGACTTTTACCCGGCTCGAGGAAAACTCATATCCGGCTGATGTGTAGTGGCTTGAATCGCTTATCAATTTCACCGATATTTTTTGAACCACGCTTCGTACTTCTCATTAATTTGATCGGGCTCTCCTTCCTCCAAATCCTGGGAAATGTTTCGGTTTCTCCTATTCCAATGGGGGCGTACTTGACTATGGTGATCCACCCAATTTTTCTCAGTAAGTCTAGACATGTTGTGTGCGTAAGCATACTGATTGTCTTCGATATTGGCAATCATAGGCCATTGGAGAATACCTTGAATGTAGTCAAACTGTCTCACGACTCTGTTAATTTTGTGGGGTTCTCGAACAACCTAGTAGAACATCCACGTCCTTGCCATCCAAATGGCACTTCCCTATTTACAACAATCAGAGAGGGTAGGGAGGAGATCCTCGTAGGGTTGCCAAACAAACTGTGAAAAAAATTGGGTATTAGAGAAGTAATTCACATAAGAATGGTGGCCAAAAAAATAATAATAAAATAACAAGTGATTCATGCTTACATCAATGGTTTTTAAGGCGGTCAATTGATCTCTAGAACCTGGGAGACTAGACCTTGGGACGTCCTTGTAGGAGTACGAGCAATTCCACCTTTCAATACAAAAAAAAAATTCAAAGGTCTTATTTATCCAATAAAAATAATAATGATATTAGAAATCTTTAAATTAAGAGTATAGGAAATAAACTCACCGATAAGCTAAAGGAGTTGTAGGATTCTCTTCAAATCTCTTTAAAATTCTTTGGGGTATGATTCTCAGGATTCGCTCGTATGCCCAAACCTAAATCAATAACAACAACAATAAATAATAATACTTCACAATATAATAAATATTTTTCAAATTGAATCGCCACGTATTGAATATATAAATATCTGTAGAAGATACACACTGCCGGTTACATCATGTTTCTCATGATTACTAGCCTCGCATAGGCTAGAATACAAGTAAGCAAGGAGAGCCGATGCCCAACTAAGTTTTGCACAATGACTAAAATCTCCCAAATGGTTCAATAAATATAAACCAATACTGTTTTGGCTTCTGTCCGGAGACATAAAAGAACACATAAACCACATGAGCATTAATCGGGCCATTTGTTGATACACGACATCCGGAGAACCTACAAAAACAACACTTCAAACCTTAATATATGTTTGGCCAAAAAAATAATTCATTGAAATTATATTAAAAGATATAAATAAATTTAAATATTAGGTATTGCACGGTTCGCTGCTTCCTCTACAACCGAAATCTTAAGAGTATTTTCACTTATTCGACCCCCGGCAGGGGTGAATCCCAACATCTCTTGGCAAATTGATTGCCATTGCTCCACACTATGGTTTGGCACCATAGCACAAACCATGTCCCCATTGACCCGGAGACCAAATAGGACTTCTACATCTTGCAAGGTCACGGTTGCCTCACCGAATGAAAAGTGGAAAGTGTGTGTCTCAGGTTTCCATCGTTTCACCAATGCAGCGATGAGACAATTATCACACTTTTTGCAACCTATTTTCAATACCCCCTCGAACCCGGCACTTGCCATGAACGTTCGTACCTGTGGAGGGGTAAAATCACTATAGTAGCACTCCCAAAACTTTTGATCACACCGACGATTTTTTAAAGGTTCGGTTTTGATCGTTGAATCGGAGCCATGGCAGACTGCTAAACTCCGATGTTCAGCTTAAAGATACAAAAATTCCCATCGTATGGGGACCGGGTTGAAGAAACCACTCATTATATTGTGGACTGAGTGATTCCTCCATCAAATACTACACCACAACAAAAAAATAACAACAAAAAAAACACTTAAACAACGCTATATATATACATAAACAAAAAAAAAAAAATCAATTACATCCTAAACTCAACAAACACAATTACAACACTATAAACCACATAAAAAAAAATATAAACAACACTATATATACATAAACAACACAAAAAAATCACTTAAACAACGCTATATATATACATAAACAAAAAAAAAAACCAATTATATCATAAACTTAACAAACATAATTGCAACACTATATATACATAAACAACACAAAAAAAA